CTCCTGGCCACAAACTGTTTACATTCCTTTTACATGCGAAATACAATCACCTTCTTTCAAAACCTTCAAATATTTCAGCCTGTTTTGAGCATCAGGCTCAAACTGGCATCCAGGCTAACTTTGGGTCATTTAGTTCATGTCAGACATCTATACCTGCTCGAATAGAAGAGCCATAAAAGGGACTTCCCTGGTGGCGCAGTGCTTAAGAATCCGCCTGCCAATGCAGGGGACGTGGGTTTGATCCCTGGTCCAGGAAGATCCCACATGCCGCGGAGCAGCTAAGCCCATGCGCCACGGCTACAGAGCCTGCACTCTATGGCCCACGTGCCGCAACTACCGAAGTCCCCGCACCTAGAGCCTGTACCGTGCTCTGCAACAAGAGGAGCCAATGCAATGAGAAGCCTGTGTATCGCAAGGAAAAGTAGCCCCTGCTCACCGAACATAGAGAAAGCCCACGCACAGCAACGAAGACCCAAGGCAGCCAAATAAATAAATAAAAATTAAAAAAAAGAAGAGCCATAGAGAGGACCTTTAACTGTCTTTTTCACTCAAACCAGTACTTGGTGCACAATAGGAACACAATACCCACTTATTGAATAGGTAATCTTATTTCTCATTTTTCAACTGAAAAAATTGACAGAGAGGGTAAGTAAATTTCCAAAGTTTAGAAAGTAATAGCCAAATTAGGATTTAAGGTCTATTTGACTTAAAACTCATTCTGAAAAGGTATAACGTGGCCTGTATCTCAGTGGCACTTAGAATCTAGTGGAGGAAGGTAAGATTAGGTATGATGAGAAAATGAGATGACAAAGGGTAAGCTACAATATTGGCTGTGGGAAGGAACAGATGCAACTGACAGCTTGAAGAGGTCAAGGTTTGGTGATTGTCCAAATGTGGGAAGGGTGGAAATGGTTAGAGCCAAGGATGATGTTCAGGCTCTGAGAGAGTGGGAGACCAAGAGAATGATGAAATAGGCAAATTTGGAGAGGGAGCTGGAGCTGGACATGAGAATTCAATTGTATAAATGAGCCAACCAGCAGGCAAAGCAAAACCTCTAAATCCAGGAATCCTATACAGATCATTTGTTAACTTAAAAATTATTTTTCTTTAAATATTTTAAAATTGAGGTAAAATACACATGAAACTTATCATTTTTAAGTGTATAGTTCAGTGGCATTAAGTACATTAACATTGTTGTGGGACTTCCCTGGTGACTCAGTGGTTAAGAATCCGCCTGCCAATGCAGGAGACATGGGTTTGAGCCCTGGTCCGGGAAGACCCCACATGTGCGGAGTAACTAAGCCCGTGCGCCACAACTACTGAACCTGCGCTCTAGAGCCCGTGAGCCACAACTACTGAGCCCACGTGCCACAACTACTGAAGCCCACACGCCTAGAGCCCGTGCTCCACAACAAGAGAAGCCACCGCAATGAGAAGCCCGCACACCACAACTAGAGAAAGCCCACATGCAGCAACGAAGACCCAACACAGCCAAAAATAAATAAATAAATTAAAAAAACAAAAACAAAAAACCCCACATTGTTGTCCAACCATCCCCATCACCCATCCGTAGAACTTTTCCATCATCCCAAACTGAAACTCTGTTCCCATTAAACAGCAACTCCCAATTCCCTCCTTCAGCCACTGGCAACTACCATTCTTTTAGGTAGCTAGTCAGACGTGAGCAGGTCCCCACCCCGTCCTGTACGGGGTCATCTTTCCCTCCCCGACCTGGACACTGGTGATCAGAACATGCCCGGAGATCCTCCCTTTAGTGGTCAAGGACTGCTAGGTTTCCAGCCTTATCAGGACCAAGCTAGATAAAATCTGCCAGCATAGGTTGGCGCAGGAGCACCAAGACCTAAAGTGTGACTCAAAGTAACCCGGGTTCATTATGCCTTATTTGTAATAAATTAGCATTGCGATTTTTGCCCCCCAACGCCCCCCGCCATGAGTTTCACTTGGGTGCTTAAGGGTAAGCACCTGCACACAAGGAGAAAAGTTGTATAACCTAAAGCTGTCAATCAACTTGTCAGTCAAATGACACAGGACACAGAGAGGGACTTTCCACCACTCTTAAAAACAAACCCTACCCCCATTGTGGGGCTGCTTCTGGTTTCCAGACAGTCTTCTCTCATCCTTTCCTGGGAGTGTACTTTCAGTTTGCTTAATAAAACTCTTGCTGCTTGAAACTGCTTTATGTCTCTTGTCTGAATTCTTCCCCTTGAGAGGACAAGAACCGAGGAAATCGCTGTTCCACTGGTGACAATTCTACTTTCTGTCTCTATGAATTTGACTATTCTAGGTATCCTGTAAAAATGGAATCATACCAAAGGGGAGGAAAAATAATTTTTCCTTTACACTTCTGAGTTCTTGGCTGAGATTCCCTGTAATAAAAGATGGATTAACAAGAGAAAAACAGTTTATTAACCTGTATACCTCCTGTACACTGGGCTATACCCAGGAAGAATGGAGTCTTAACCACTGGACCGCCAGGGAAGTCCATCAAATCAATGTCTTCTTTCTCCAGTGATAAGATTTCATGTGATTTAGTCATCTTTCTCTGCCAGGTACAGAGACAGAGACATCCTTACAAATGGAGCTTTCCTTTATAAACGTAAATTTCCATTTCAAAAGGGTAACTTCTACTATGTTTTCAGAGATTCTCCTATGATTGCTGTTTCTTTAAACAGTCAGCTTAAAAGAGTCCTTATGCCAAAGAGGCATATTTTGGGGTGCCATATTCTTCTACCCTTCATTCCTGCCTTTGAAACTTCCCCAGAAGCTGAGTTGGTAGATTGTTTTATATCTCATTGAACTAGTCTCTTAATCCTGAGAACAGGTCAGTTGAATTAAAGAGTTGGATCTCATTTCAGGAGACAGTGATGCAGGTGGACTCCCAAAGTCAGGCCTATATGGTGCAAGCAATCATGTATTTAATAAGAGACATTACAATGGAAACAAAAGAAAAACAAGGTTAATGGTTAGAACAGACTATAAACAAAGGTTTTGAGTCCAGGGAGTAGTTAGTCGAGAAGATTTCTAGATGTTAGGCTTGAAGCATCTTCAGTCAGAATGAGGAGAGGAAGGGACAATCTGACAGATTTTCCTGTTATCTCTGGTTGATGTCATAAGGTGTTCCAGTGAACTTTCTGAGTGGCTCACAGAGCAAAAAGCACAAAGTTTGCCTGGACATGAGCTGTTGAGGCAATTTCTCTGAAGTTTATATCAAGTCATCCAGCTTCAGCTTTCAGAGCTTTGAGAAAAGGGCAGTTTTTGTTCCTAGTGATTCCAAGTCAGAAGAGTGGGAGAAATATGGAAATGTTAGCTTGGTGACTCAGATATTGGAGAAACCTAGAAGAATTCAGGATCCAGTCCAATTTGTAGGTAGATGACAAAACCTCAGAGGCAATGAACAGGACTGGAATCCAGTATCCATAAAAGTGCTCTACTGAAAATTATTTTTCAGGGAAGGCTTTATAGGGAAGACGCCAAAGCAAAGCAAGGAAATTACTTGAGTGGCTATAGCTTGTTGACAAAGAAATGCAAAAGGTTGCAAATACGAAAAGAGTTTATTTGGGGTCTTAGGAATTGCAACGCAGGAGACACAGATTTGGGAGTTCCCTGCTGGCCTAGTGGTTCGGATTCCTGGCTTTCACTGCCGCAGCCTGGGTTCAATCCCTCGTTGGGGAACTGAGATCCCCTAAGCAGTGTGGCCAAAAAAAAGAGAGAAAAAAAAAAAGAGAAACACAGATTCGGGTAAAACCCAGTGTTTTGGGGAAGAGAGAGTCACACACAACCACAAAGTTGTTAAAGTTGTCTGGCAAGAATTATGATTGACTGGGCACAAGAAAGGAAATACTTGTCCTTAAGGGATACTCTTTCAGGAGTTATTTTAGGGTAAGGGTCCAATAAATATCTTGAGTTTCTGGAACATTGGGCAGATGTTCTGGTTGCCTGTGTTAAGACAACAAATGGTCTAAGTTCAGATTCCACCCAGGCTGAGATGTGCATTAGTCTTACTTCTTCAATGGCCTCCAGGCTCCATTTCAGAGAGCTCTCTTAGCAATACCCACACCATTTTTTTTTTTTTTGTATTTTTAATTTTTATTTATTTATTTATTTTTGGCTGTGTTGGGTCTTCGTTTCTGTCCGAGGGCTTTCTCTAGTTGCGGCGAGCGGGGCCCACTCTTCATCGCGGTGTGCGGGCCTCTCACTATCGCGGCCTCTCTTGTTGCAGAGCACAGGCTCCAGACGCGCAGGCTCAGTAGTTGTGGCTCACAGGCCCAGTTGCTCCGCGGCATGTGGGAATCTTCCCAGACCAGGGCTCAAACCCGTGTCCCCTGCATTGGCAGGCAGGTTTTCAACCACTGTGCCACCAGGGAAGCCCTACTCACACCATTTTGTTTTTTCTTTCACAAGCGTAAGCTGGTGCCTTATTTGGGAAAGTCTGCTTGCTTATGATTGGTTGTCCTTAGGTTTCCATTTCTTAACACTGAGGCATTTGCACACTTTGGTTTTGGTTTGCTTATACAGGCTTTTCAGGGCACAAGAACCACCTCGTCAAATGGCCTCCTTATTTAACTAATTTAAAAATACAAAGAAGTGGAATTAACTTACTAACGTTTGAAGGTCCTATTTACATATTCTGTAATAAGGAATATGCTCCTTCATGGAAGGCTATTGGTTAAAACTTTTGTTTCCTAGGGCCAACAGGAACCTCTCAAACATTGAAGCTTCCCATAAGTTACAAACTTTTTCCTATGAGACTAGATACCTCAACATACCAAAAATAAAAACTTTGCAATATATCTTTGTGATACCCCAAAGGGGTCAGCATTGTGCTTTGCATGTAGTAGGGATTAAGTGTTTGAAAATATATTATTTCTGAATATATTATTTATGGTATGTTAACGGCTTATTAATTCATTAGTAAAACCAGATTGATTCTTTTAAAATAGGACTAAATCCCCCCCCCCCCCCCAAAAAGACAGCTTCGCTTCTCCTCTCCTCATTAAACTCTTCCCTCACGTACAACAAAGAAAGAACTTATTTATGAAGTGTTAATCTGAATCTCTGCAAGGGACAGGGGACCTGATACAGTAACTTTTCTAAGAGGTCAGTTACTTGCGTGCCCAGCATGCGGTAGTGCGGGCTGAAAGGTCTGAAGGTTTTTCTGAGTTCAGATGTTATTGGCCCAACTTCAGGCAGACCAGGATCCGCTTTAAGGTCCTTGTGGATTGTTCTGGGAATGGGAGCGTTGGCTGATTCGGACACGAGCCGCTATGCGGCTTGCGCTCAGCCTGGCCGCTCCTCTTGCCACCTTCCATTGGCCGGGACTGTTTTCAGCTCTTTGCCGCGCACGGGGAGAGCCACGAATCCAACAGCCGTCAGAGCCGGAGGCCCTGCTCGCGACCGCTGACACCCCGAGCGAGGCGCCGCCTCGATCCAACAGTCGCGGCTCCTGGGCGGCTGGGGCGGGTCGCAGCCGCTCGCGAGGAGGGACGTGGCAGGGACCGTGGTCCCCCCGCCAAGGTGAGGATGAACACGTAGAAATGGCTTTGGGGAGTGCGCCAACAGCGGTCGTTAAGAGACACAAAACCGACGTCTTGGAGCCGGGAGCCTAGAGGAATAGGGATGGTCACCGGGCTGGGCTCTGGACGCCTCGGGCGGAGTAGTGTGCCCCTCGGCCGAGCCGACGGCGCAGGCGCGGAGAGCGCACGTGTGGCGGCGGGCGGGTAACGTCACGTGGCGAGGCGGCGCGTGCGCAGGCGTCAGGGGCGGGGCCCGGAGTTAAATGCAGCCGACGGTCTGCGGGACCCGCTCTTCTCTGCAGTATCTGCTGGTGGCCGCCGCGCTCTGCTTGTGCATTTGGAGGTACTTCTTACTCGAAGGTAATAGTTGCATAAATGCCTTAACGCTGGCTCGCTTGAGGAGGGTTTCGGAGAATAACTCAAAAGTTTTAGAGATTAACTCAAAAGATTTAGAGAATAACTCAAAAGTTAGATTGACATGCCTACTTTTTAGACTGAGTTGTAGTTGATAGAGGTGTGTAATAGAGAACTAAAACTTAAATTCAAGGCCAGTAGTGAATTGGATATATGCTGGAGCACCTTTAGTTTATCACTTGCTTAGGACGCTTTTCTCTTTAAATTTCATTTCGACCATGTGTGAAAGAGTAGTTGAAAGCAATTTGAGTGAGGTTGAAGGCTTTAATGAAATAGTCACAACTGATAAAATTGCTCAGTTTGTATCAAACTAATAGTAAAAGGAAAGAATGGGTGTTATTGCATGTGTTTGGCGTGGTGGAAAGTTACTTGCGTGCCCAGCGTGCCCAGCTTCCTGAGCCTCTTTGATATTGTCTGAAACAGAACTTCCTGGATAAATTCTGTGGATTAAATGTAAAGAGAAAGAAGAAAGCTTGCTCTCTTCCTTCTCAATGATCTAGGCAGCTATACAGTCCAGGCTTCTCTTCTACAAAAACTGGTATATTGTATTTACAGCCTAGTCGTTGCTGATTCCTAGGGATTGAAGGAGACATATTTATTTTTGTCTCAACGAAACTTGAAAACAATGGCAGAAAACAACATAGAGGTAAGGCTTCCCTTCGTGACCTGCTGTATGACTCGGAAGAGTCATCCTCGCGATGTACTGTGAGGTACAGTCCTCCCTTCGTATTCCCTGGGGTATTGGTTCTAGGACGCCCCGTGCACAGCAAAACTCGCAGATGTTCAAGTCCTTTTTACAATATAAAATGGTTATATTACACATGGTTATTGAATACTTGAGATGTGGCTTGAACAGCTGAGGAACGGAACTTCACTTGACTTTAAAATTAGTTTTAAAAAATTTCATTATTGGAAAACATTTAATATGTTTGGAATAACTTGGGCATGTGAATCTTTTTAAATGTACCTTTTTTTGAAATTCAAATACAGATCAAGCATTTCTGATTTTATCTTGAAATATTTCAGATATATTGGTTAATATAATTACACCTTCTTAAAAACATTAAAAGTAGACTATGAGAAGGTTGCATATTTCTATTGGACAGCAATGCCCTAGTGCCTTTTGATTTTTTTTTTTTTTTTTTTTTTGCGGTACGCGGGCCTCTCACTGTTGAGGCTTCTCCCGTTGCAGAGCACAGGCTCCGGACGCGCAGGCTCAGTGGCCATGGCTCACGGGCCTAGCCACTCCGCGGCATGTGGGATCTTCCCGGACCGGGGCACGAACCCCTGTCCCCTGCATCGGCAGGCGGACTCCCAACCACTGCGCCACCAGGGAAGCCCCCTAGTGCCTTTTGGACTGTATTCCTTTATAAGACTAGTATTTAGGAACAGCAGTTATGGGTTAATCATGACATTATTTTCTACTGGGGTCATGTCAAGGAAATTTTGACATTTGTAAAAGGCTCTGAAGAAGACTATTAAAAAGGAAAACTGCTTAGGACTATTGCAATAAGAGCATTGCAGTAGGGGAGAGGGGTGGGGCCCAAATCCATGCAATAGATGGGGGTGGGGGGGTGGGGGGGATTTATAGCGTATGAGCAGAGTGAGGGAATCAGTGGATGGAAAAGAGAGGAGAACCCCATCAAGGGTATGGGGTTCTTGCTAAACCTACTTGATAGGCTTCTGAAGGTGGGCCAGCTTGATCATACATCGAGGGCAGGGGATGAGGTGTTTGATCAGATACAGATTGAGCAGATATCAAGTGGGGGTGACTTAGCAGGATTCCTGCTAAAACTGGGCCGGGCCAGCCAAAGATAGGATAGGGTCCAGGTAGGTGTAGTCAAAAGAGGGCCCATTATTCACTTGCTGTACAGCAGAAACTAACACAACATTGTAAAACAAGTCTACTCCAATAAAAATTAATTAAAAAAAAAAAGGCGGCTCAGTCTGACTTCAGTTTGGTTAAGGAGAATCTTTGTCAGTTATAAACAGCTTCTAGCCTCCTGCCGACCTGGACCCCAGGCTTTGGCAGTTCACTCCACTAAAAGTCCCGTGTGGCTAGGAGACTTACAATTGTTTTATTAAGTGCATTCATAAGTAATCTTCTCTTCAGCTGACTCTAGGCTATAGGGAGAATTAGAGCCAGATAATCACTTAAAAGACATGAGAGGAGGCTTAAATGAAATGAAGTGTGGAGGAAGCACAGTGCCACCTGATCTTAGGACTTGAGATGATTTAAGGGCCTATGTGTTCTATGAAGTGGTTGGGGGACATAAAACGTTATTTAATTCCTGAAGTCATGCATGATTAGAACACTTCCCCCACTCCCCCTTTTATTTTGTTTGTAAACTTTCAGTGCAATAGTGTGGTTGATGGTAATGTTGAAGAAGTCCCCAACAAGAAGATAATTAAGTTTAATCCTCCATTATACAAACAGCGTTACCAATTCGTTAAAAAATTAGTGGAGCAACATCAACCCAAGAAGGTAGGTATTTCTCTTTCCAAACATTTGTTTATAATGCCTTATGTAATGCTTTGTCAAATAAAAAAATCTTAGTGAGGACTTAGCAAGTAAGCAGAGACTACACAAAAAGACTTTTGCCAGGAGGGAAAGGGTTGCATAGGGAGAGCATCTGTCTTAATGAGCAAAAAGGATTTTTCTTTTATAGAGAGGAGGATGAGCGGAAGTGGGATAAAAGGGTGGTATGATTGGATAGTGGAATGTGTGAACCCTGAAACCAGCCTATTTTCTGGGAGGGATCCTTAGCTGAATACTGTCCAATGTTCAGGGGCCTGGAGGGAGGAGAATTTTGGGACAAGTAGTCAAGGTAATCGCTCAAGGCAAAGAATGGGAACACTAGGCAGCATCTGTGAGTGTGGGGGAATATGGTACCTTCTGAAAGCCCTTTCTGGAAATACAAAACATAGGTGGATACCTTTAACCTGTTTACCAGGTGCACAGAGCTCCAGTAAAATTCAACATTGCCAGTTTCAGATGTGAAGAAAATCTTGACATTTTACCATTGGATGTGATCTTTATGTGTTCCACATTTCTAGAGCATTTAGTCCGAACATCAAGCAGACTAGTCTTGTGGACATAGGTACTGTGGTTCTTTTTAATTAGGTAATAATGGTGGGGGAAAGGCAAGGAGCCCTTGGCATTTATTCGCTTTCCCTTTGTGGCAAAGGTTCATGATCAGTGCTGGCACTGGATTTTGTCTGGGTAACACCTCCCTCCTGTGTCTGTGTTTGGATTTCATAGGACCAAGGGAGCTGGCTAGGCCCAGTGAATATCTGAAGTCTATAGGGTCAGTTACAGGCTAAAGGATGACAGACTTCTTAAGGAAAATGGTGGTTTCTCTCATGAGTTTTGTAAAGTTAAACTCTACAAACTTCTTTTTGCTATGTAGTTTGTAGGTAGTGATGGGGCTCATGTATCCTTAGTATAGTTTCAGCTCAATTCCTGCTTGGGAAGAAAATTGGGTATAGTGTTTAAAAATTAGTACAGTTCATTGCTTCCTGTGATTTGCTTTCTGAAACTAGGTTTTCCTTTTTCAATTCTGTGTTCCCATTCTTCCACCATCCCATAAATGTGCCTGCCTCAAAGAGGAAAATTACTGAATAACCATGGGTGCAACTCAGATTGCACATCTTTTTGGGTGTGGGTACTTTTAAGCATCTGTCATGAGTTATCTTCATTTGCCCTTTTCACCTAAAGTGGGGTTCAGAAATATAGGTAACTTACCTGTGGTTAATGAAGACCGTTGTGTGATGAAGAAAACAGATTTAATAAAAATCTTTAAGAATGTGTGAATATATATTAAGGGGATTAGATTAACAAGATCAAGCTATATCCTGGTATATTTGGTGAGCATCCTTTTCTAAATCTTGTTGAAGCTTCTCAGAGACACAGACTCCTCTTAGCACACTTGCCTGTCATGTGTGCTCTCCCTGTGCCAGGCCCCTAGGATATACCTTGATACCTGAGTTAGTTTATTGTCCAGACACTCTAGTAGGTCATGGGAGGTTAACAGGCCTTATTTTTTTCCCCCCAGGTTTACAATGTTTCTGGTTAATTTTCTTTTTGTTTATTTTTTCTACCAAAAAGATTGTATAATTCTTTTGATACCCACTCCTTCTGGAAAAAAAAAACATGCTTGATCATATGTGACTTCTGGCTATAATGTCTTTGAAATAACATTCTTTCTTATCTACAGGTTGCAGACTTGGGGTGTGGTGATGTATGCCTCCTAATGATATTAAAATACCAAAAGTGCATTGAAGAGCTTGTTGGAGTGGATATCAATGAAGGGAGACTTAAATGGAATGGGTAATACTGAGTTTCTAAAATAATTATGCATTAGTCTAAAACTAGTGGCACTTTTTAAAAAAATTAATTCTTATTGGAGTATAGTTGCTTTACGATGTTGTAAAACTAGTGGCACTATTAATTATAGTTAGATGAAGTGGGTTTTTTTTTTAATTAAAAAAATATTTTTTATGGCCAGGCAGCTTGTGGGATCTTAGTTCTGTGACCAGGGATTGAACCTGGGCCCTCAGCAGTGAAAGCGCAGAGTCCTAACCACTGGATCACCAGGGAATTCCCAGATAAAGTGGTGTTTTTTTGAATTTATTTTTTTATACAGCAGGTTCTTATCTATTTTATACATATTGTTGTATATATGTCAATCCCAATCTCCCAATTCATCACACCACCACAACCCCCCTGCCACTTTCCCCCCCTTGGTGTCCATAACGTTTCTTCTCTACACTCAGATGAAGTGTTTTTTATACAAGTTCTTTATAACTTGTTTAAAAGGAGGCACTATGAGAGCCCCAGGCTCACCAAATAATGCCTTTACCATGACAGTGATTTGCCTGTATGTTTTGAATAATACCTAGAAGTTTTGCTTCTACCTATGTAGAAAGTATAGCTTCAATTCAGTAATTATAGCAATCAAAGCATTGCAAATTCAATTTCAAACGGCAAAGTCTAATGCTGAACACCAAGATAACTTATAGCAACGGATTTAAATTGCCACAGCACTGGGGTAGAAGCCCGAGGCCTCCTTCAGTTTGAATGAGTCTCACTCATATATGACTTCCACAGATTGTTTTAAGAATGTTTTTCTTCTAAAGAACAAAAAATTGAAAATCACTGATCCAAAGTGAGGTGAGAGAACCAAAAGTATTAATAATGAGAGGAATATCAAATATTAAAAATCTTGTTCTCATTGGCCATTTAATGCCCTATGAGATAATTCAAAAAGAGTCATGTACCACAATGTTCATTGCAGCACTATTTACAATAGCCAGGACATGGAAGCAACCTAAATGTCCATCGACAGATGAATGGATAAAAAAGATGTGGCACATATATGCAATGGATTATTACTCAAGCCACAAAAAGAAACGAAATTGAGTTATTTGTAGTGAAGTGGATGGATCTAGAGTCTGTCATACAGAGTGAAGTAAGTCAGAAGAGAAAAACAAATACTGTATGCTAACACATATATGTGGAATCTAAAAAAAAAAAAAAATAGTACTGATGAACCTAGTGGCAGGGCAGGAATAAAGACACAGACATAGAGAATGGACTTGAGGACACAGGGGGCTGGGGGGGAAGGGGAAGCTGGGGCAAAGTGTGAGTAGCATTGACATATACACACTACCAAATGTAAAACAGATAGCTAGTGGGAAGCAGCCGCATAGCACAGGGAGATCAGCTCAGGAGGGGTGGGATAGGGAGGGTGGGATAGGGAGGGAGGGAGGGAGGGAGGGGATATGGGGATATATGTATATGTATAGCTGATTCACTTTGTTGTACAACAGAAACTAACACAACATCGTGAAGCAATTATACTCCAATAAAGATGTATTTAAAAAAATGCCCTATGAGAGAGGAAGTGACCCTATGACCTTGTGCTTAATACAGCAAGTCATGGAAACAGGCCATGTCAGACTTACCAATGTAAGCAGAAGATCATTTATCAGAGGATCAGAGTTTCTGTAGCTGGTAAGATATTCCAAATAGATCATGTGTGTTCAAATGTTCCTTCTGCAATAATGCTTCTGCAGGTCCAGGCTGTCCCCGTGCATGGGGGATCATCTGGATCCTCGAGAGCTGGATTTAGTTATTACCTTGTATCACGGTTCTGTTTTGGAGAAAGACTGTCGTTTGCTTGGATTTGATTTGGTAGCATGTATTGAATTGTAAGTATTAAACTGATTCTTACTGTATACATTCATTTGAAAAATTGGAATGAATTAGTCTCAGTAATTTAGTGTCCTAAATATTTGTCATAATCTGAGTTATTTGTAAATAAAATTGCTTGTCAGCTGGGATTGGCTTTTTACTGGCCTTTTTCAACTTTTTGTTTGGAAATGATTTCAAGTTTATAGGTAAGATGCAAAATGTATAAAGTACTAGGAACACCCATATCCTTTATCCTGGTTCACAGATTAACATTTTCTTTATTTTATCTTGTATATATGTGCTCTCCTGCTGTCTCCCTCTCCCTCCACACATTTTTTTTTTCTGAACCATTTAAGGTTCAGAAAATGGGTAGGTTTTACCCAAGTTTTACCAAAGGGTAGGTTTTACCCTTTGCCCCTAATAAATTCAGTATTAAATAAACAATTCCTGTTCTTTTCTTTTCTTTTTTGGCCACGCCTCGGGGCTTGCGGTATCTTGGTTCCCCGACCCTGGATTGAACCCCGTGAAAGCTCTGAGTCCTAACCACTGGACCACCAGGGAATTCCCCAGTTCCCTTTATTTATTTTTACTTTTAAAATTTATTTATTTACTTGTGGCTGTGTTGGGTCTTTGCTGTTGGGCGCGGGCTTTCTCTAGTTGCGGTGAGCGGGGGCTACTCTTCGTTGTGGTGCGGTGGCTTCTCTTGTCGTGGAGCACGGGCTCTAGGCACGCGGGCTCAGTAGTTGTGGCTCGCGGGCTCTAGAGCACAGGCTCAGTAGTTGTGGCGCACGGGCTTAGTTGCTCCGCGGCATGTGGGATCTTCCCGGACCAGGGCTCGAACCCATGTCCCCTGCATTGGCAGGCAGATTCTTAACCCCTGTGCCACCAGGGAAGCCCTTCCCTTTATTTTTAATAAGAATATTTTTCATTTTTGGCTTTTAATGATTAGATTCAGGCTATGCATTCCTGGAACACAGCAGAGCACTGAAGATGTTATTTGGATCCTCGGGTCATTCCATCTGGAGGCACCAATATCCGTTTGTCCTTGGGGAGGTTAATTTTGATCTTCCCTGTCAAGGTGTGGTTGCTTAGCTGTACAATTACTACTCCCCCTCATCCCCCTCACCTCTGACAACTGATAAGCAGTCTGGAGACTGCAGACCATACACATATCTTGTCACTCATCCATGTTTCCCCCCCCCCCCCCCGCAAATTTCCCTACATTATATGGTGGCAAATGGTTTTTGCAATTTCAGCACTTCTCTATATTTACTAGTCAGTAGCCCTCCCACCTCACTTAATTATCATCAGTATGAACTCATGAATTTATATTTTTTTAAATGGTTTGTAACTTACTGTATTTTGTTGCTCAGATCTTCCCAAGATTGGTGAATGGGGGTCCCTTCAGGCTGGCTCCTGTGTCCTTGTGATATGTCTGTCCCTTTTTGAGCACTTTATTTCTGGCGTAGCAAGAGGTACCAGGCTGGTTGTCTACTTTTCCTTCCCAGTCTGCCATTTCTGGTTCCTTTTAATGGGAAATGGTATTTAGAAACCAAGATGTCTCTTAATGACCTTTTAATAGTAGTTAAGGGTCTTATTCTGGGGTCAGTTTACCTGGTATTGTGTTCAGATTTCCAGTTTTTAGTAATGTGTCCTCTAGAGCAGAGTGTTTTCCTTTTGTATTTCCTGTTGTCTGGCACGTAGTAGGTGCCTAATGTTTGAAATTACTTATGGAGAACATTCGAGCATTGGTTGAAGAGCCAAGGAGCAATGATACGTGTCATCCGCGTGCAGCCTGGGTCTGAATTTCCTTTTTAAGGCTGAATATTCCATTGTATGTATCACAGTTTGCTTATCCATTCATCCGTTTACAGCTGCCTTTTGGCTATTGTGAATAATGCTGAACCATATTTCTCTTATCTGGTCTGAGAGGTCCACGGTTAGAAGTTGTTTTGCTACATCAATTAGGAAACTACTTGCAAGTGAAGCTAGGTTTACTCATATCTTTCTCACTTACCACTTTAGAATAGAACATTTTGATTCAGAAGATCTGGCGAAGTTTCCTGAAGTCGTATTTGGGTACATGTCTCCAGCCATGATTGTCATCAGCACACCGAACTCTGATTTCAATTCCCTGTTTCCATCTGCAGTCTTCAGAGATTCAGATCACAAATTTGAGTGGAGTAGAATGCAGTTTCAGACCTGGTGAGTTCTTAAGTGTTTTTGTTTTTTTGTGACTGTGCTGGAGTTTTAAACCCTATGAAGTAAATCTTATTATCTACAATTTATTTCTTATTTTATTCCCAAAGTGCAACTTAGCATATAATCATTAAGAAACCACCACATTTGGGCATTATTTTCTCTGTCAGGTCCCACAGGCAGGCACGTGTGGAAAGGGTGTGTGGGCAGCAGGTACCTTTCACGTGAAGGTATCAGGAGTTACCTCCCAGGAGCATGACAGATGGTCATGTTCTGGCATAACTGCAAACCCAAATAGGATTTGGGATTATAGCCCTTCTGGTTTCCTTGTCCATCCCTGCATACTGCTCCATATTCTGGTGGTTACTGGGAAACTGACACTGTCATTGCCTTAACGCTCTTAACGGAAATAAGCAAACCCCGTGATATGGCATTAGGTGGTGTTGGAGGAATTGCAGCTTGTTTTCTGTCTTGTAATTTTCATGTCCTATTCTACTGGAAATGGTTGTTTAACAATAGTTTGGAAAAATGATTTTTCTCTTTGTTTTGACTTTAGGGCTTTAGACGTGGCCAATCACTACAGTTACTCTGTGGAGTTTACTGGTGTGGGAGAACCACCAGCAGGAGCTGAGGATGTTGGATGTTGTACCCAGATAGGGGTCTTCCGGAAAATAGCAAAGGCACCTGAATCTGCTGTTTTGGAGCACCATGGTGAACATGTTTATGAAGTTGTGAGTATTCTTTGTGGCTCTGAGAGCAAGTTCATTTATTGGGATGGTGAAATGAGTCCCTACTATAGAGAAGTGTAAATGACCTTTTTTGAGGAGAATCCCGTGCCCCACAGTGTCTCCAAGCATGTTACAGAGAATGATCTGCTGTTGTCTTAGAAATACTTCCAGGCTGTTTGCTCCAGCAAACCACCCTCCCGCTTTTGTAATCTGTTAGGATTAGCAGTTTCTGGTTTTGGGAGGTATGTATGATGAAGAATATGGTGGGGCTTCCCTGGTGGCGCAGTGGTTGAGAGTCTGCCTGCCAATGCAGGGGACACGGGTTTGTGCCCCGGTCCGGGAAGATCCCACATGCCATGGAGCGGTTGGGCCCGTGAGCCATGGCCGCTGAGCCTGCGCGTCCGGAGCCTGTGCTCCGCAACGGGAGAGGCCACAACAGTGGGAGGCCTGCGTACTGCAAAAAAAAAAAAAAAAAAAAAAAGAATATGGTGAAGAGTGTCTATGTCAGTAGTTCTGGGCTCCCATTATAATTGTAGCATTCACAAAGGGTAGGGTTTGACATGTACATATGCTTAATCTGTACATAGTTAATTCTAATGTGGTGACAGGTTACTAGTGGTTTTGAAAATTTTCTTCTATTCCCAGTCCTTTGCATTTTTTTTCTCTTCAGATTTATACGACCTCATACCCGAGTTTACAGCAAATGGATTACTGTAGACGTGTAGTGACTTATCTAGTGTACCGAGAGGTGAACAGAATGAAACGGAGATATCAAGTGAGTCTGAGACAGCATGAATTGGAACCTGAGTCTGCAGACACTGGCAACCCAACAAGAAAATTCATCTCAGACCCTCCAGTTCCAGTACTCACAGAGGCAGACAAAGCCATGGAGATGATTCCCCAACCCTTCTGTATTGGAGATAAGTTTTACGTACCCCTGGAGAGAATCATTGCTTATCCCAGGCTGGGGCACATATGTGGTAATGTAGAGAAGCTGAGAGAGTTTCTTGCTGATGTAGTAGAACTGAACTGCGATGGTTCTGCAGTGAAGGTTGACTTGCATGATTGTGGTGACTACTGAGCCTTCTTTATTTCCTGACATTCAGGGTCTTAGCAATAATTGGGCTCATTTAGAATTTAAACTTTGTGCAGCCATAATTCAGGTAACTTTTAATTTAAAAATCACCTTTTTTTTTCTTGTGTGTTAAATGTGACATTAAAGAGTTTTTAAAGAAAACTGAATTATCTAGTAGTGTTTAAAATCTTTTCCTAGGGGTAGAGTAACTTTAAAACTTCTACCTACTCTGGGCTAAATTCTAACCTGTAATACTTAGCCTAAAACACATACAAAACAGGAATGCAGGTATTTGAAAGGAACAAAACTTCATAATTAAAACATTGCCTGTGTTTTTTTTTTTTTTTTTTTTTGCGGTACGTGGGCCTCTCACTGTTGTGGCCTCTCCCGTCGTGGAGCACAGGCTCCAGACGCACAGGTGCAGCGGCCATGGCTCACGGGCCCAGCCGCTCTGCGGCATGTGGGATCCTCCCAGACTGGGGCACGAACCTGTGTCCCCTGCATCGGCAGGCAGATTCTTAACCACTGCACCACCAGGGAAGTCCTGGAAGAAATATTTTACATAATTTAAAAATCTTTTCATTGATGGAATTTAAAGCAAACTTTGCACCGCACAGCTTGAGGGATCTTAGTTCCCTGACCGGGGACTGAACCCGAGCCCTTGGCAGTGAGAGTGGGGAGTCCTAACCACTGGACCACCAGGGAATTCCCTAAAGGTTGTAGACTTTAAACTTTTTCCTTAATGCCTGCCATTGGGAACACCACTGAGAACTTCCTGACTCTCAAATTAACTGCTTTTCTTAGAGAGTCCACCATTCCTCATAGAATTCCAGTGGATAAAATATCTATTCGGATATCAATTATTTCACATATATGGTATTATACATTTTGATGCAGCTTTATCATTAGTAATATATTTTATAAATTCACTTCCAACTATTTGTACTCCATTCTTTTTAATGATTACATCTGCTTCTTCTTTTTTTTTTTTTTTTTTTAGCGGTACGTGGGCCTCTCACTGTTGTGGCCTCTCCCGTTGCAGAGCACAGGCTCCGGATGCGCAGGCTCAGCGGCCATGGCTCACGGGCCCAGCCGCTCCGCGGCACGTGGGATTTTCCCGGACCGGGGCACGAACTTGTGTCCCCTGCATCGGCAGGCGGACTCTCAACTACTGCGCCACCAGGGAAGCCCACATCTGCTTCTTTTTTTTAAGTAAAGAAAAGGGTGGAATTTAATCTTTATTTACAGGGCACTGCAAGATATGAAATTACACATAGAAATAAGAAACCCATTGAGAGGAGAAGCTTCATACAGTATGTACAGTTTAGAACTGTTCAAGTATAGTTTCTTTGTAAAAAGTGCTACAATAACAAACCATGTATAAAAAGAGTTCTTAGTAGAGAAACAGTAAGACAAACTTCTACCAAACACAGTACACAACAAACAACTTAATGCCTCAGGTGTACAGTCTAAAAGTTGAAGGTCCCAGCAGTGCCATCCTGAACTTGGAACGTAAACCCTTCAGAGGTAGTTGCTGGCACAACATTTTGGTCTACCTCTTCCTCCACAGAGAAATACGTCTCAATCAAGTTTAATGAAGCTTTGTACACAGACTCATTTTCATGGTTTTGTAGAGCTTCAATTTTGTCCAAACCTCCACATTCTTCAATCATTATACTAAGTTTCTCAGTTTCACCTAGTTTCTCAGCAGCCTGAAAGATATTTGAAATGGCATCCGAAATAACCAGAATAATCTTGGTGTCTTTCGCAGTTAGGAGGTTCATCAACGGCTCTATTACACCACAATGAACAAGGTATACGATCTGCTCAACTGTTCCGCCACGTGTATAGATGATCACAGCCCATACAGCTTCCTTCTGTGCCTTAAAGTCTGCCTTAGAGAGAACGCCAACAAGGAACGGGACTAATCTATGATGTACAGCTTGTTGTATTTGGTCCTGGCGGCCAGCCATGATGTTTGACATTGTCCACGTAGCTTCCTTCTGAGTATTTGTTTTGGAGTTTGTTCGCAGGCTGGGCAAGATGGCAAGTGCTCCTGCATCTGTTACAACTTGAGTCTGTTCATCTGTCCCAGTGACGATATTGTCTATGGCTCTTTGCGCGGGAGTCACGATTGGCAATTCCGTAGCTCCTAAAAGCTTCACAAGTTGGGGTACAACCCCGGTTTTCACAACCATTTCAATCTGTTCATTTGGACCATCGGTAAGGTAGGAAACAGACCAGCAGGTATCAGCTAAAACTTCTGGATCATCGTGATGCAGGAGACGAACTAAAGTAGGAAGAACTTGCTCAACAGCGTCTAAGGGGGGTGGTGCAGGATTCTTGTTAGGACGAAGATTTGAAAGTGTCCAGGTGAGATTACGTAAGTAACCACGTGCTAAAGATGACAAATCAGGAACCTCCAGGAGTGCCAACAGCGGGTCACCTGCACCATACTTGATAACCAAGTCTTGGAAAACCAAGCCATCACCTGCAATGTTTCCTAGAGCCCATAGAGCTCGTTCACTGATGTGAGCGTGGGGAGATGCCAACAGAGAAGTGAATGCTGGGATAGCACCTCCATCTACCACAGCCTTGGTCTGTTCTGATGTCCCGGAAGCAATGTTAGTGAGGGCCCAAGAAGATTCAAACTGAATGGGACTACAGTCAGTTCTGCCCAAGCAGGACACAAATTTTGGCATCAAACCCGCCCGGATTATGTTGTCTATGGGGGGCTGTTTTTCCCTAGAAAGCAGTTTCCTAGCAGCTTGAGTAGCTTGGAGCTGGCTTTCCAAGTTGTTGCTACTTATGCCTTTGACAGTGTCATCAACAGACCAATTTACAGTGCCCTGGTTGTTGTGGTTTTCCTGCAGTGGAGAAGCAGCATCATCTGGAAAAGAGCTGACATTTCTCCTTTTCAGCATCTGATCACCCTTCTTAGCTTTCCTGAGCCCCACATTAACTTCTATTCGGCGCTGCCTCATTTCTGTACTGTCTTTCCCCTTGTTCTTGAATCTGTTAAGGCGGGCGGCTGGTGAATTAGCATTCTCGTTGGTGGACATGGTTATGAGACAAAGGGAGAAAGCTACACAGCCAGTTCAAGCTTCCACAAGAGGCAGCTTGGCTGCCCTCAAAGCATCCACCACGGTCAGCCCTACATCTCCTTTTTAATAAAACGGTAATAGTAATTCAAGTTCATGCCAAAAACCCAGACTGCTCATAAGGATGTAAAGAAGAAATTAAATCTCCCTCAACAGTTTGCCCCCAACCCTTCCATTTCACTTCCTAGAAAGCTATTAAAGGTTTCTCGTTCCCAGTTAAGTACAAGTAAATTCCAATTTTGCAAGAACTAGTGGTCTTTTGGGGGGCAGGCTGTTCCATTTTTTTGGAAAACCACCTGAATGGGCCACAGTTTTGTAACTATAAAGGCCTTACAAATAGCGAACTTTGCTCCAAGGAGTTAAAGTGCACTGTATGACGATGAAAAATGTGGTTCTGTAAGGGGGAAGAGTTTTATCTGCAGATTTTTGTGGGAAAATTACCACCACTGGCACCACCATGGCCCACCCACCAGAGCAGGTTGAAATTTGTGTTGCCAGGTATTAGGTGGAACTTCCCTCCCCCTTGTTCTGAGTAAGATTTGCCTGTAATTCCTATTTCTACGGTCTGGGCAATTCCAAAACCCCTTTAAGAATTTCTGAGAAGCTCACAGGACTTCGCTGGTGGCGCAGTGGTTAAGAATCCGCCTGCCAGTGCAGGGGACACGGGTTCGAGCCCTGGTCTGGGAAGATCCCACATGCCGTGGAGTAACTAAACCCGTGTGCCACAACTACGGAGCCTGTGCTCTAGAGCCCATGAGACACAACTATTGAGCCTGCGTGCTGCAACTACTGAAACCCATGTGCCCAGAGCCTGTGCTCTGCAATGAGAAGCTACCACAACGAGGAGCCTGTGCACCACAATGAAGAAAGCCCGAAGACCCAACACAGCCAAAAATAAATAAATATAAAAAAAGAATTTCTGAGAAGCTCACAGCACTCCTTCTGGTGCAATTGCCACACAACTGAGATGTGAAATCCCTTCAGTGTCTCCACAAGACTCACAGAGCATTTCTACACAGCACCAGTCTCCACATCCTTCCCTTAGCTTCTCACCTCCCCACCCTCTCTTGCCTTTCTAACCCTCCTGTCTACAGCATACCCAGCAGTTCAGCTCTCTTTAAAGTATTGCTCTCAAGCCCCTGGGGCTCATTTCTGTCAGGAAATTATTCCAAGTGAAATTAACGCCCTCAGCTAGAGTTTAGGTGCCAAGAAAATCACCTCATTACAGCTGGTACTGTGGAGACTGAGCTGAGCAGCTGTAGACTGGAGGTCAGGGACTAAGCACTGCCAGCAGTGCCATGGTGGAATCTTGATTATATGTTCATGGGAGATGCAGGTGTTAACTATGGTCACCATGATTTATCACTGAATACGGTGCACATCTTTGGGGATATCCTGAAATAGGGAACATTTAAGAGTATTGGTGAGATCTAGCAAGCCAGCTTGTAGGAGCTGGAAGTCAAGTTGGTACAGTAAATGTTAATTTCACCTCTTTTGTGACTAGTTTTTGAAGCCAGGGGAAGGCTAGTTATACACCTGTCTTTTGAAAGTTAACTGTCAAGGGCCTATGCCCATTTATCTGTTGGTTTCTAAGTTCCTGTCAAACTGTATGTACTCTGTGCCAGCATGGCTGCAGTTATTGGTACCTACTCCATTTCATCCTGTATGCTGTGACCCTACCTGGAACTAGTCAAATTAAACTCTGGTCATTCTATTCTTACCTGGAAACACCGCATTGCTCCCTACTTTCACACCTCATCCTTGACTCAGATACTTTGCTTTCATTGAATAGGCTGTGTTTTCCCATTGCTATGTCTTTGTCCAGCCCTGCCCCTCTGTCTGGAATCCCTTTATCATGCTGATCACCCAGTCTCTTCTAGGAGGAATCATCATATCACTGAACTT